CAAATTTTAAAAAATGTTTTATAAGGGTTGCAGAAAAAATAGATTATGTTGATGGATGCCAATATAGGAAAGTGAACTTTTTTTTTTTTGAGGTGCTGGGGCTTGAACTCAGGGCCTCACATATGCTAAGCATGTGCTCTACTACTGAGCTACATTCCCTGCCCAGAAAAATCATTTTTATACCAAAATTACTTCTCAACAAGTGTTTTTTTTACTTTATAAAAGGCTTCACAAAGAATTCCTATAAATAGCACTTTCCCTTCCCTCCCCTTCCTTCCTTCCTTCCTTCCTTCCTTCCTTCCTTCCCTCCTTCCACATTTACTGAATGCTTACTGTGTTCTAAGTTCTGTTAGGGAAGCAATGGTGAACAAGACAGATATCCTTCCTCCCCTGTGATCTCTGTCTGGCTGAAAAGACAGCCTTCAGTCAGATCTTTACAGAGGAGAAGCCTCTGACAGAGGGAACTAGAAAGCTCCTCTACTCTGGGAGTCAGAATTCTTTCTGGAAGGAAGTGATGTTCCAGGTACAGTGAGCCCAAGTGCAGGTTCTGCTGACATGGGTGAGATCAGCTGGCTCTACCGAGAAAGTCTCTTCTGGCAGTTCCTGGAGTCCTGAGAGCCAGCCCAGGATGGAAGAAGCTGAGCCCTTCTAGGAAAAAAAGGGCAGCCAGTGAACCCGCAGAGGTCAGCCGGAGTTAGAGGCCAGGCAAAGTCTTAAAGACTGTGGTGGCTTTGATTCTAATTTCATAGTGTATGCAAATGGGGAGCAGGGAGAGTTGAAGGTTGTAGGCAGGAAGTAAAATAATTAGCTTGACTTTTTTTTTTTTGGCTGCCACAGGCTGTAAGGACAACAAGCTGACAGGAACAGGGATGGGTACAGGGAGCCCCCAGTGGATGCAGTGAGACCAGTCAGGAGGCCACTGTGGTGGTGAGGGAAAGATGCTGGTGGTTAAGGCAAAGATGCTTGGGGGACAAGCCAAATATATATATATTTTTTGGTCTTTTGAGTCAGGGTTTTGCTATGTAGTTCAGGCTGGCCTTGAACTCACTATGTAGCCCAGGCTGGCCTCAAACTTGAAGCGATCCTCCTGCCTCAGCCTTCCGAGTGCTGAGATTACAGCCATGCACCACCAGACCTGGCTTGGACAAGCCAAATAGATGGGCTGACTCATCCAGGGACCTAGACAAAGCCCAGAGAACAAAAGCTTGGCTGGCCACCTCCCAATCAGGATAATTTGATAATTAAATTTAATTGCATTCACTGATGAAATGGACAGCATCATTTCCTGTAGGTAGATAAGGAAGGCCCAAGCTATACACACCAATAACTGCTACCCATAAAACACTCTCTGCATGCTTTATCAGGAGGGCCAATTTTCAGGCTTCCTTACAGCCCTCTGCAGCAGCTATTGGGATCCCCCTTTTCATATATGAGTACACTGAGATCTGGAGAGAAGTTAAGAGATTTGCTTAACGTCACTACCTGGTGACTGGCAGAGTTGGAGTTCAAACAGCTAACTGCTTGCCCCAGGGATTTAGTTCAGTGGTGCCGCCCCCTGCCTCAAAAGCGCAGGGTCCCAAGTTTGAACCCCCGTACCAAAAAACAAAACAGCTAACTGCTGACCTGTGCTGGGTCAGGTGATATGCTCAGGACACCTGGGAGGACATTGGCTCTGGCCGAGGACCTACTGCTGGCTCAGGCCCAGGGTGGGATGTGCCAGCTCTGCCTACCCAGGAGCCTCCCCTTATTCCCAGGGTCATGCAAACTGTCTCACAATCTCACTCGAATGCACTCAAGCCATAAAAATGCAGTTGGCTTTTTTCTCCCAGTGGCTGGGGCTCATCTACTCTGGGAAGACCTGCCTTGTGGGTGAGAAGCCACAGCTCTGGGCAGGAACAAGCCTGAGAGACTGAATTCTGTCCCAGAAAATATGTGCCTCATGTGTTCACAGGAATTGGTCAAGGGTGGCACTAGAGAGCTGGGACAACTTTCAGTAACGAGAAACCTGTAGGAAAAGGCCTGAGGGTGAAGCAATGCTGCTAGTTTCAGGAGCTGCAGTCATTGTGGAGGACAGGGACAGGCAGCTACACAGACAAGGGAGGTGGATGGAAGATGACCAAGTAAAAACCACAAATGTATTATCTTATGGTTCTACAAGTCATAAGTTTGAAATGGATCTCACTGGGCTAAAGTCAGGTGACAGCAGGCTGGTTCCTTCTAGAAGCGCTAGGGGAACCTGTTTCCTTGCCTTTCCCAGCATCTACAGGCTGTCTGCATTCCTTGGTTCATGGCTCCTTTCTCCATGGCTCTTTTCTCCATCTTTGAACCTAGCAGAGTAATGTCTTCAAATCTTTCTGAGCTCTGTTTCCATCATCACATGCCCTTCTCCTGCTCTGACCTCTGGCCTCCTCATAAGAATGAGGGCCTTTGGGCCAGGGATGTAACTCAGCTTGCCTGCCTGGCAAGCACAAAGTTCTGAGTTTGATTCCTGGTACTGGGGGGAAAAAAGGCAGAGTTTAAACATAGTGCATTCAAGACAAGCTTGAGCTACATGGTGTGACTCTGTCTCAACAACAAGAAAATCCAGAATGGGGCCGGGATTTAGCTCAATGGTGCCATCCCTGCCTTGTAAGCTCGAGGTCCTGAGTTCGATCTCCAATACCAAAAAAAAAAAAAGAGAGAGAGAGCGCCTTTGCGATTCCTTTGAGCCACTCAGATAGTCTGGGATAATCTCCCCAATCGGGTCCTTAACTCTATCTCATCTACAAAATCTCTTTCAAACTGTACAGTAACATTCACAGGTTCTAGGAATTAGGACTTGGACATCTTTCAGGGGACTATTATTCAGACTACCATCTGCTTTAACAAATTAAGAGAAAGAAAGATAAGCCTGGCAACTGGTAGGAGAATGGCTGGGAAGTAGGCAGGCTGATGTTAGGGAGACCAGACAGGAAGCTGCCACAAGGTCAGCAAAGAAGATGCTGGTGGTCAAGCTGGGGTGGAGGGGCAAGAACGGACAGAGGGAGGGGAACCTGGACTTGGAGACTATCAGGGTTAGGTGGGTAAGGACTAGGGGAGAGACATGGGAAGATGACTGGATGTACAGATGGGCCAATGAGGTACATGGTAGAGCCCTTCTGAGAATCCAATTTGTGGAGCAAATTTGTGGCAAGAACAAAACGGACCTGTAGGGATGGGCTGTATCTAAGACATCTTTGGGACATCCAGGACAGGAGCCATGGAGAAAGATGGATTCAGGGTCCAGATGGCTGTGATTCCAGGATCCCTCTCCTTCCTATTGGCATACATGTGCTCGTCTCCACCTTGATTTCTGGGTCATCTTGTGTTTCTAAAGTCAGAGTAACATTGCTATTTATCCCACATTAACTTGAGTTTTATCCATTTTATTCTAGACTTTTTTTTTTGGGTACTGGGGATCAAACTCGGGACCTTGCACTTGTGAGGCAGGTGCTGGAACCACTGAGCTAAATCCCCAGCACCTTAGTTTTATCCATTTTAAAAACAAGAATTTAAGTTATAGGGAGGGTAAGTTGCTACATAAGGGCCCACAACTAGCTTGTGACAGAGCAGGAAGTTATGTCCCTTTTTTCTTTTCTTCCTTTTTTTTTTTTGCATGCTTGTGACATACATATTTTAGAGATAGGGGTGTTCTCCATCCCTATCTGTCTATTCTGGCAGATAGCCAACAAGCTACTTACCATTTAAAGCCTTGGAGATATGGAGAGAATAGTGGTGGAAGATAACAGGGCTTTTCTTTTTTTTTGACACAGTGTTTTTTGTTTTGTTTTGTTTTTTTGTTTTTTTGTTTGTTTTTTGGTACCGGGGATTGAACTTGGGTCCTTGCACTTGTAAGGCAGGCAGCAGAACCACTGAGCTAAATCCCCGGCCCTTGTTTTGTTTTTTGAGACAGGGTCTTGCTATGCAGTTTGGGCAGGGCTTGCACTCACTGTGTAGCTCAGGCTGGCCTCGAACTTGTGATGACCTTTGTGCCCCAGCCTCCCAAGTTGTGGGATTTACAGGTGTGTGCCACTATGCTCCAGGCTTGACAATTTCTTGCTATGTAGCCCAGGTTGGTTTTGAACTTATATCCTGCTTTAGCCTCCTGAGTGCTAGGATTACAGGTATGCACCACTAACCTAGCTTTCCTCCTGTCTTTTGAAAAAACCTGAACTCATGGAAGGATCTATTCTGAATATCCCCAAGAAGGGAATGGTGGAGGTGGTTAGGGAAAATCCATCTCAGCAAGGAGTCCTGTAGGGGCTGGTGTCTGTCCCCTGGCAACCCCAGGATGGGTCCACAGAGCCTGAACTTGAAAATCCTATGACTTGGGGTAATGATTGTGGCTTTAGTACCAGAGTGGACTTATAACTGGAGGTTTTTTAAAAAAATACTTTTTCTGTATAGAGATCATGGTTCCTTTGGAATGACCTAGGAAAGAGGACCTCAGTGGAGGTCAAAATTGAATTTCCCATCATTCTGGAGGATGGAGGTTCCCAGAAGGATTTATGCTTGATTTAAGGGCAATAAAGAAACGAGATATTTTGTGCTACCTATATTAAGCTCTTATACATCACTTTTTATATTTTAGGGTGCCTGAACTTTTAGTCCTGTTTGTCTAGATCTCTCTCTCAACTTGTAATATCCCCGAAGGGCAGGAATCTAGTGGGTGTTCCCCTTAGTATGTCCAGGGCCTAGCACCTAAGTTCATTAAAGAGTGCAGGTTGAATGTGGTCTTCCTGAGTGGTGGTATCAGAGAGACTGGATGGAAGACACCTTTGGGACAAGTCAAAATTTCAGGAAGACAAGTTGTGGCTCGGAGGTGGGGGAAAGTGGGCCTTTCTTCGAAAAGAAAGGGGCATTGGCAAGCTGGGGCGGCGGCGGTGGGGGCGAGCGGGGGTCGTCTCTGGCAAGCCCCGCCCTGAGCTAAGGTACCGGCGCGAAGTGACGCGGCGCGGTTTGGCCGCTGTGGGGCGCCGTAGCCCGCGCTGTTGCCAGGGGAACGGGCCCAGTGCCTGGCGAGGCCCAGCCCGCCTCGGCCTGGCCCGGCTGCGCAGCAGTCCCGCCAGACCTGGAGCGGGAGGACGCCCCCTCTCAACCTCCATCCGGGATGGGGCCCCGCTCTGGGGCGCGCCGGCTCCCGGTCCCGGGGATCCTCTCTGCCGTGACGGTCTGAAGGGCGTCTGCCCCGGGGAGGGTGGACAGCCAGGCGCGGGGCCGAACCACTAGCTGACCTTGGCAGGGCCAATCTGGTACGGCCGCCAGCACGCGCAGGTGAGGAGCCTCCCCCGCGTTTCACACCTCAGAGCCTGGCCTGAGCTACAGGGTCGCGCGCCGCTGCCGCCTGACTGAGCTCTGGGTTCACCTCGGCCTGGGACCCGCGGCCTGGGTTCCAAGGACCCGGCAGAGCGCGGGGCTTCCTTTAGCATTCATCAGCTCAACAGATTTTTACTAAGCGCCCACTGTGTGCCAGGCGCCTGGCCAGCGGAGGGCTGAGAACAGACGCGGCCAATCTCCAGAGCTCAGAGAGCGTTAAGGAGGGTGTGGGGAGCAGGCGCCAGACATATGACTAAAGTGATTTCAGGTTGAGTCAAGGGCTCTGGTGATGAGATGGAGGGGTGGCCAGGAGGATCTGACTTAAAAGGTGACTTTTAAACTAAGACCTAGAGATTGGAAAGAAGCCAACTGTGAGTAGGGGAAAGGTGTTTCTGGAAGAGGGGAAAGCAAATAAATACAAAAGTCTGGAGACGACAGAGTATTAGGACGAAACAGAGTGAGGACAACCCTGAGTCTGTGGTGGGTGTTGCAATTTTATTCTAGCAGGTCTAGGAAACCATTGAAGAGTTTTGATGAGTTTCAAGTTTTGAAAGCTCATCTCATTCTGTTTGCTGTGGTAAAGGCAGTTGATGGCCATCCTGGTTCTGCCAGTCTAGCTGTGCCTCCTAGAATTGCTTAGTCTCTCTGAGCCTCTGTGCCCTCTTCTGAGCAAGGGGGATGTTGTTCTGCATCTAGCTTATGAGAAAGTGAGGGGCCATCCACATATGAGACCAATGATTAGAGAGACCTATGAAAACTGTTTGAAATAATAAGACCTACCTCAGAGTGTTGTGAGGGTAGAATTAAGTGAATTCCATAGAAGCACTTAGAGCAGTGCCCGGCCCAGAATAAGTGCCCTCTAAATGCTAGTGATGGCTATTATTATCGTGGAAACGTCGTAGGAGAGCAATGATGGAGGCTTGGATTAGGATGTGGCAGCAGTTGATGGTAGAAGTCTTCACTTCCTTTACTCAAGGGAAGCTTGATTCAGATATGGATGAGAGGTGGTCCCTGCTTTTGTGGAACTGGTGGTTGGCTGTGGGAGACTGGTTTGTAAACAGATAATCACCACAAGATGCGTTAAAAACAACAGTGGTGTTTAATTAGCCAGGTTTTTCCCTTTTGTTTTTGTTTTTTTTACTTTGTTCTGTCACAACTTTGTTCTTAATGACTGTTTCTTAGTGGGTGTTCCCCAGGGCTGGCTCCTACAATCATATGAGTTGATTTCCTGTTAAAATCAACAATCCTTGCCTCCCTTGCCTTGTTTCTGCTCCTTGTTCCCCCTCCTTCTTGTCTCTTTTTTCTTGACTTAATCCCAAACAGTTTGTAGTGGTTGCTACAAGGAGAATGGCACAGAAATGTTTGCAATCTTTGTCAACTCAGGAACAATTGAAGTTTCAAGCTTTTCTTGCCATAGCAACCGACTTTGGCATATTGTTGATGAGAGAGAAAGTAAGAGCCCAGCCACATCTGAGACCACTGATGAGAGGTCTTTGAGAACAGATTGAAGTTCCAGTTTATTTTCTGGGAATTATGTGATGTACATTCTTATAGTCACTTCTCAGAATTTTGAGGCCAGAGATTTTTTTTCTTTGGTACTGGGGATTGAACTCGGGTCTTTATGCTTGCAAGGCAGGCGGCAGACAAGGCCGGAGATTTTTCTGGCACCTGTGGGGAATTTTAATAAACAAAGTACTTGCCTTTAAAAGTATTTTATAAGCAACTGTTTTTGCACTGTAAAATAGTGTGCTCCATGAAGCATTTTCTCTCCAGCTCCCCTTTGTGTGGTAAAAACTAGCCATCTGTTAGATCTCAGTAAAACTTATTTCTGAAGCAGGGAAAAAACTGAAAACGCCTTTAGAAATACCTGCAGGAAATCTCTCACATGGAAACCATAAATTCTCTAGGAGAAAGAAAGATGCTTGGGAGCAAAACTTTCCTGTGGGGTGTACCTCCCCTCTGTGTTCTAGAGGTGATGGGACACTGGGCTGGCTCTTGGCCAAGAACTAGAATAAGGTCCTGACCAGCATTCTGTTGTGCTGTCTGGGGGGTCTAATTCCAGCTTGGACAAGACTCTACAGTCCTAGGAGGTTTTGTGACTCTTCCTCACAGTTCTCCAGATGAGCAGCTCAGAATTGCTTTCAAGACTAAGAAAGCGCTTAACTAAAACCAAGTGTTCTTGTTGCATGGTTGTTAGGCAGGAATTCCTGGTTTGTCTAGCCTGGTATAGGGCTCTGAATCACACTAATGCACTTGGTCCACATGGTGCAATAGGTTTGTGACAGCAAGAGGTGACACCCCTCAAATTATTATTTGATATATATTTATGTGTGTGGAGGTGTAGTGCTGGGGATCAAACCTAGGACTTCACAGTTGCTAAGCCTGCGCTGTACCACTGACCTACATCCCCAGCTCACTTTTTTTAAAAAAGCAGTAATACTCATGATTAAAAATTCACACAGTACCAAGGAGTACACAGTAAAAGCAAATCTCTATTTCACCCCTCAGCCTTTGTGCTACTAGATCTGCCCAGAGGCTGCCACTGTGTTTAGTTTCTTGAATTTTCTTAACAAGAGAATCTATATATGAGAATGTAGTTGTCTGTCCATCCCTAAGGTTTTTATTCATTCAGTAGTTCTCTTTACAACTGTATATCTTGCTTGTTTACTTAACTGTGTATCAAAGATCATTTTGCCAGGTGTGGTGACACATGGCTGTAATCCCAGCTACTTGGGCTGCTGAGTCAAGAAGGATTGCAAGTTCAAGGCCAGCCTGGGCAACTTCCTGAGCCCTTGTCTCAAAATAAAAAATAAAAAGGGAACCAAGAGTGGTGATGTGTGCCTGTAGTCTAGTACTCTGGGAGGTTGAGGAGGATTGCAAGTAACAGCCCAGTTTGGGCAACTTAATGACTTAGTGAGACCTTGTCTCAAAATTAAAAAAAAAGAAAGGCAGCTCAGTGTGAAGGCCTTGAATTCAATCTCCAGTATCATAAAATAACATATAAAAATGTTAAAATAGCTAGAACTGTAGCTCAGTGGTAGAATGCTATTCTAGCATGTGGGAGGCCTTGGGTTCAAGTGTTAGTATTGAAAAAAAATTTTTTTTATCTTTCCTTGTTGTTGATGTTCCTGAGCAACATGTGTCATAGTGTATTTATATTTGTTTTTACCCTTTGTGATTATAAACAACATTGCAATGAATCTTTGTATGTTTTACAAGTATATGTATAAGATAAATACTTAGAAATGGAATATCAGAACCAAAGGGTATGTGTGTTCTCAAGTTTGGCAGGTATTGCCAGATTGCCTTCCAGCTAACTTTTTTTGGCAGATGAGTAAAGGAGAGACCCAAAGAGGTAAATCTATGAAGTTTGTCCACAGGCTTCTTGCTCTATGAGCAGCAGTGCAAAAACTACACAAAGGCTAGGTCTCAGGCTTAACCCTCTTTCCTGGCTCCATTGGTGGCTCAGGTCTCCAAGCCCCTATTTCAGCTCTATCCCTTCTCTTCTGACCCCAACATCCTACCCTCCCAGTTCTTTGGCCTCCCCTGAGAACCCTTTTTAGTAGTTGAATTGATTCTGAAGTCCCCAGACATCTTACAGGAATCCAGGGCAACCCATAGGGCCTACAAGGCTGGGACTTTACCTCTCAGCTTGTTTCCTTTGACAGTGCCACACATGAATTTTAGAACAACATGCCTACCTTTTTATGTATTTAATTTTTTTTGGAAATGGTATCTTGCTGTGTTGCCCACGCTGGCCTCTAACTCCTGGGTTCAAGTGATTTTTCTGCCTCAGCCTCCTGAGTAGCTGGGGCAAGTGCACAGCACTGTAACTGGCTGCTAATCTTTTTTTTTTTTTGGTTGGAGCAGAGGTGGTCAGGAGGGAATTGGATCATTCATGTAACTTATATTCTTCATAATGAAAACTTGAAATGTGAAGATTTCCTTCATTTAATTGAAGCATATAAATTAAGGTATCCTAACCTTATTTATTTATTTTCCAGTACTGGAGATTGAATCCAGGGCCTTCACACTGAACTAAATCCTCAGCCCTTTTTATTTTGAGACAGGGTCTTGCTAAGTCACTAAGTTGCCTAGGCTGGACTTGAGCTTGTGATCTTCCTGCTTCTGTCTCCCAGAGTGCTGGGATTACAGGTGTGCACCACCATGCTCAGCTTTTCAAACCTTATTTTGAATAACTATTTAAGACTTATAGCAAATGCATGTTCATAAAGAGAGCAGATTATTATCCTGTCAATGGCCTTCATCTTGTTAGGGACAAGGGAGGGGTCCGCACAGCCTCTCAAGCCTTCCTCAGAAGCCAGGTAGGTCTGTGACTTACCAAGGTCATAACACTCCACGAGTTCCTCTTGCTCCTGTCTTCCCCCTCTCTTCACCAGCCTAACTTTCTATGGTTTGTTGGTTTGTTTGTTTTGCCTTCTTTTTTGAAAGTCTTGCTATGTTACCTTAGCTGGTCTTGAAGTCATGGGCTTAAGTTATCCTCCTGACTCAGCCTCCTGAGTACCTGGAGCTGCAGATGTGTGCCACTGCACCCAGCTATTATGGTTTGTTCTTTGGAAGCAGAAAATACAGGAAGAATGTTTTCCCAAGTCTTGTCACCTCTTAGCCCACCAAAGATACACCTGGCAAAACTGAGTAGGCATAAGGGAGCTTGTGGGCTTGACCTTCATCTGGCCAATCCCTCCCAGAGCACAGACTACTGGGCTGCCACCTTCCTGGGCTAGCCTGCTGTGATGTCCCCCTGCCCCACTGTTATGCCCTTTTCTGTGTTGCTTTTGCTCTTCCCACTGTGACCAGAAAGCACTCAAACACCTCACTGTGTCATCTCCTGTTTTAAACTTCCTTGACTCCTGTGGCTCCTTCAGCATTGCCCGAGCATCCTCAACTGGCCTTCTGAGGCCCATGTGACCTCAGCCCTGCAGCTCCTCAGGGCTCATCTCTCACTGGGTCCTGCTCTGCCTCCTCCCATCCTGCTGCCTGCCTTGTATTCTGACCAAATTGCTACCCCTTCCAAGCACTGCCAAAATGCCTGTCCACTAGCTGCCTGCTGTCACTCTGTGTCTGTCTGTCTCGGCCTGATGTCTGCTTCCGTCCGTGCTTACATCCTCAGTGTACCACAGGGTGGGCCCAGTGAGCACTGCTCGGCCAAGGTCTGAGTGCACCAGCTGGCATATTACTGGAGAGCAGAGCTACACATCTTTCAATCTGGTCTGTCGGAGAAGTGCTGAGGGTGGAGGGACAATCAGAGAAGTCGCCGGGGCTGGTGACAGTGGGTGTCATCCATGAGCCTTGGGCCCCATCTTGGATTCTCTCCTACCTCCTACCCCTTTTAATCAAAATCTTTTGGACTAAAAGAATTTGTGGCTGCCAACTCTGTGAGAGAAAATGTCATCAGTTGAGTTGGCCAGCCAGGCATTGTGGTGCATGCCTGTAATCCTAGCACTTGGAAGGCTGAGGCAGGAGGATTGCTGTGAGTTTGAGGCCAGGCTGAACTACATAGCAAGACCCTATCTAAAAAAAAAAAAAGTTGACTAGCGCCACTCTCAGGACAGGCAGCATGCTTCTGGCCAGTTTGATGTCTATTTGGAGCGCTGCTGCTTCAACAAAGTTCTGCCCAACAGTGTCATCCCTATGTTCAAAGTCTCAGACAAGTGATACCTCCTCTCTGGGCCAGTGGTATCCTGCCTCAGGAGTCAGGTGCAGAAGTAATGGGGGTGCTTGAAGCCACTGTTGGATGGTGGGGACATATCACCCACATGGCTGTTTCTCTCTTTGGAAATTCACCCAAGGTACAGGGCTGTTCAGGTGTGGGGATGACAAAGGGAAACCCAGGCTGGTGATCTAAATTCATAGGCTCCCTTCAGACTAGGCTCCCTGGTGATGGTGGCCCGGGAAAGCTAATGTGCAGGACACAGATATTTGTTCCTTAGTGGAACCACCCAGCTCAGCTTTATTCACTGATGACATTTGACTTTCCACAAAGTAGAGGCAAAGATTTGCTCCTAAGACAGGGAAAGTGACCAGAAGACTCCACTTGAGTCTCTGGGAGAGAACTAAGGTGACTCCATTTAGTTTTGAGATAAGACTACCTGGAGGTGTCAAATACTGCTAAGCTTGATCTGTAGGAGGCTCGAGCCTCAGGTACGCTGAAGGGCAGAGTGGCTATAAGTGGTGCCCCTGTGGAATAGGGGCTTCAGAAGGAGGGCTGAAGGCAGAGCAGAGTGGGTCAGATGGCTTTGGGTGGGCCAGGATTCCACACCATTTACAGAATCCACTTTTCCTTTTATTTCAGATGCTTTCAAGTCGGCAAACATTTACTAAGCATCTGTTAAGTACAAGGTATAGTTCTGGGTGCATGGGGGTGTGTGTGTGCAGAGGTGAATGAATCATGGGACATTTGCTATCTTTGATTGAAGCTGGTGTAACAGACACACATGGGGTGGCAAAGTGACGGTCCCAGTGAGAACTGAGGAAAAGGGCCCTTGGCTATGCTTGGGAGGTCAGGGAAGCTTCTTGGATGACAAGATGCTTACAGTGGGCTTGAAGAGCAAGTAGCATTTTGTTGAGTAAGAAGGTGTCGGGAACAGGAAAAGGGGACATTACTAGCACCTCTGCAGTAAGTCCTAGTCTCCTGCGAGCCAGGACAGCACAAGGGGAATTGACTTACACACAAAAGGTAGAAAAAATGAGACTTGAGAAGAAGCTGAGCTTTGGGCCCAATCAGTGCTGCTCTGGGTGGCAAAAAATGAAAGCCTCCAGCTTATCAAAGTGCAATGGGGAGAAACAAATGTAACAAATGACTTGCAGAGAGTTCAGTACATCGGGATAAACAAAGTGTAACAAATGACTGGGGGGCAGCAGAAATCCAAGAACAGTGAGGAACTGAGTAGGTGAAGATTTTGTACATTCCAGGATGTCTTCAGCTGGTATAATCTTGTCCTGGAGCACCACAGCATCACCGGACCATTGAGGTCTTAGCTATGACTGGAGGACAAAATGGAGTTTTGTCTCGAAATCCCATAGCTGGCCTGTAGGCAGGAGAACTAGGCCTAATCAAATGATTTTTCCCCAAAATGATATAGAATTGCTCCCGACAAGAAGGTATTCCAGGAGGATGTGCTGATGTGGGATCTGCCATATCTTGTTTAGATTCCTAGTAGGGGCTCCTGAAAGGAGAGTCTAGCTGCCAAGGTTTTGTTCCCAGGTCCAAGCTTTCTTACTAGGAGCTCAGAGCTTGTCTCTCCAGGCTGGCACTTTGTGCTTAGGTCATATTCTCCTTTTGGGTCCAGAAGCAAGTAGGGTTGGGCCCCTTCCTTCTGTGAGGACAGGCCCATCCCTTCCTGGCCTGTGTGACTCCTTGGGTACCAGGCCAGCTGTTGGGCTGAACGAGGCAGGGTGAGTGTGGGGGTGGCTGCCATCTGTGGTCTGGCTCTGGCCACATCCTGGCCTTTCTGTGAGCTTGCTCAATTAGTCAAAGGACATAATTCCACCTTACTGTGTAAATCTGTGCAACAGGACCAGATTTACTTAGAGAAACATGGTCATTTCTGCTGCTGGAAGGAACCAAAGAGGGACACCCCCCACCCGTTGTGTGCTGGCTCCTTTGCAGCCAGGAAACCTCAGGCAGCCCTTCCGAGACACAGAGGAGAGGTTTGGGGTCTCCAGTCCTAAAGGATTATGTGTATGCTGATGGACAGAGTCCAGATCCCCCTTCTCAGCACCCTTACTCCCCATTTCCCTTAGCAGAGGATAAGGGGGCCTATGTGACACTTGTATTTGGACCTCGGGATGGAGGTGACTAATCCTAACAGAATCAGCATGTGTTCTCATCGTTCTGGCTCCAGCATGATATTGTTACCAGATGAGAACATGTCTTATTGAGTTTCACTTTGATGGCTCTGGAGACAGAGCACTTTCAGTAACAGGCAGCCACACTGTGTCCTAAATAAACCCTAGACCCTCCTACCTTGTCCTGGCCAGGCTGGGGCCAGAGCTTGCTCTGGGACTCTGGGACTCTGGGACAGTCTTGGAATATCACCCTCCCCCCACTGCCTGTCTCCATTGGGCTAGGGCCCCAGATCCCCCACAGAGTAGTTGGGAGGTAGCTTCTCATCCCAGCCTGCTCTTCCCGCTAAAACCTGGCTGCAGGCTTGGGTCCCTGGGCTGCCCTCTGGGCTAATGCTTTCTACTCTTTTTCCCTTTGGAGATGAACATCTGCAACAAGCCCTCCAACAAGACGGCCCCTGAGAAGAGTGTGTGGACAGCACCTGTGCAGGCCAGCGGACCCTCCCCGGAGCTGCAGGGGCAGCGGTCCCGCCGGAATGGGTGGAGCTGGCCCCCTCACCCACTTCAGATTGTGGCCTGGCTGTTGTACCTCTTCTTCGCAGTGATTGGCTTTGGGGTCCTTGTTCCCCTCCTGCCTCACCACTGGGTGCCTGCTGGCTATGCTGTATCCTTGGGAAAGTGGGCCCATTGCATAGAAGACTGGAAGCAGTGGATGGATGGAAGGCAGAGGCCTGAAGCTGGGCTTAGGGATTCAGGGTGGGGCAGAGCAGGGGCGGCCCAGTCTTCCCTTCCTGGCCTCCAGCTCCTGCCTGACCCCTCCTCTGATAGGGCGAGGGACAGCTCTGCAGTGCCTTGGATCTTACCAACTGAGGTGCTATAGGAGCCATCAGAGAAGAAAGCATTAAAGCTTTTAAAGCTTCTTCATGCTGACTGTGTCCAGAGCTAAACAAATGGGAAATTAGGGAGGAATTATTCTATTTGTGAAAGAATTTGTCATGGTATAATCCTTTTACATAGTAAGTTTCCTGGTACATTTAAGATGAGGTTTTATTTTTAGATTATTATGGTGTGCCCAGAACTGTTCACAAGTTGACTGATTTTGTAAATCAGACCTTTTCAGGGTAAGAGTGATTGTTACAAGAGGTGGCAGAGTTGCCTTGGGAGCTCCTGGGAGCAGTGACAAATGTGGACTTTACTAAGCTTAGTGGTGTGACTACCCCAACCCTGGCCACAGCCCCCAGGAGCAGGGGATGTGGCTGCAAGGCTGGGGCCCTGGGTACAGCAAGCTTCTCTGTGCCCTGTCAAGAGTTCCTATGAGAGCATCCTACCATATGCTCTGTGAAGAAGACGGCTGGGGAAAGGAGTACAGAGACAGGCCTGAGGCAGGGCATAGAGTCAGCAGCTTGGTATGGTCCCAGGTCAGCCCCTCAGGGCTGTGCATGGCTGAGCAGCTTCTCCAGCTCTTTGGTCTCTGCTTCTTCTGTCTAACAGCAAGGGTTCTGGTTGCTTCCAGGGGTGGATGGGGGCAGAGTGCCAGAGGTGTAAGGCATTAATGTGAGCATGCTCTCTTGGGAGTCCACAGTCCCTGGGCTGGTGTGTGACAAGGGCAGGTAAGTGAAGGACCCTAAGAGAAGATTCTCATCCTCGTTCACCAGCTGTGTCCTTGAAGGCTTCTGGTTCACTAGAACCCAGGGTCTGGTCATCAGCTCTATGAATGGAAAACTAGACTTTCTCTGAGGAGACCAACAAACCTTAGGTAATTAAGTGGAATGGTTCATGGGATATTCTTCGTGTGGCCTGGAGTGTATATATCCCTCACTTGGGATTACATGGATTTCTTCCATCAAGGTACCCAGGAAATCACATTAGTAACTGTGGTTTAGAATCAGCAAATAACAGTAAACAAAAGAAACTGGCATTTATCGAGCACTTATGTGTTCCAGGCACTGTGTCAGCCACTTTACAGGGACTATCTCATTTGATCATTATAGTAATACTGTAAGGAATACATTTTTCTATTTTACTAATGGAGGAACTGGGGCTCAGAGAGGATAAGTGACTTCCTGAGCTACCCAGTGAGGCCAGCAGGGCTGCTCAGGCGGCCTCACTGAGGAAGTGGGATGGTTTGAAGGTTTGGTCTTCCCCACATTTCAGCGTCCATTGTCTTTGGTCCATATAGAAGTGCATGGAGTTACCTGTCTGACCAGGGCTAAATGGTTCTTCCTTCCATCAGTGTCTCCTTTTTTCTGCAGGCTCTCTTAGGGCTCCTGAAGAATAAGTAGGGTAGGGATGTGTACAAAGTACTCACTGTGGCCCAGAACTGGCCTGGACTGGAGGGATGCAAAGATGAGTGGCCAGCGCTCATCTCAGCAAGTGCTGAGATGGGTGCTCAGTGGCCAGAGGGGGGACAGGCTGGTAGGTTGGACATGGTATTCCCACCACATGGTGAGTGTGGGGAAGGGGCTCAGGCAGCAGACTGTGGGAACAGAAGGAGGACATTTTTACCAGTCTCCTTACATGTCCCGAGGGATACCTGTTGCTCACAGTTCCCCTGTCCCTGTGCCCAGCCTCTCCCCTCATCTTCTTGACTTCTCCTCTTTCCTCCATTGCTGATATCCAGTCAGTCCTCAAATCCTCTAGATTTTACTGCCTTAATAATTATTGAATTCTCCTCCCCTTCCCTCTGCCCCCAACCATCTGCCTCTGTGGGCTAGCTGACCATTTAGTTTCTAAGGCAGTCTCCCCTGTGTGCCCTCACTCCAACCACCTGCATCCCTGTCAGCATAGTGCTCTTTCAAAAAACAAACCTAAAGCTGGGTGTGGTGACACACGTCCATAATCCCAACACTGGGGAGAATTGGGAGGCTGGAAGATAGGAAGTTCAAGGCCAGCCTGGGCTACATTGCGACACCATATCTCAAAAAACCAGCCGGGGATTTAGCTCAGTGGTTCTGCCACTTGCCTCGAAAGCACAAGGACCTGAGTTCGATCCCCGGTATCAAAAAAAACCCAACAAAAAACGACCAACAAATAATGACAACAAAAACGAATCTGATATGTTCCACCAGCTCAAGACTATCCAGTGGACTCTTCCTGCCTTAAGGAATGAGGTTGAAGATCCTTATATAGTTAAGTCTCTCCAAGTTCTGGACTCTGTCCATCTCCCCAGCTTCCTCTTACATTATTTCCCCTGTTCTCGTCTGTTTTGATGACACTGGTCTCTGCCTGGAAACCCCTTATCTCTCGCTACCCTCAACACCCAGCTGAGTCAGAGGTCAAGAAGTAGAATCTTATGGGTTAATTTGGTCTGTAGATTTTATGAAAATTGAGGGGGCCAAGCATGATGGCACATGCCTGTAATCCTGGCACTCTAGGACACTGAGGCAAGGGGGTCACAAGTTCAAGCCCAGCTCAGGTAACTTAGTGACTTAGATCCTGTCTCAAAAAAAAAAAAAAAAAAAAATCTGGGGATGTAGTTCAGCATGAATCCCTAGTTCTGAAAAAATATTGAGGGGTAATTAGAATACAAAATGCAGATTCTTCTTCTATGGATGTATTTTGAAAATTGTTTCACTAACATTTAAACATTGAGAGATTTCATGTAAAAACCTAGATTTCTATTTCCTTTTGAAAACCAGAATTTGGCAACATGGACCCTTATTCTTGCATGGCAGCCATGAGCCACATTCAACCACCCCTCTGGTTGGTGTCTTACATGTTCCCAGTCACCACAGTACCCAGCCAGGCCCCCTTTCCTCTTTACATTACTTGTCAGGGCCCTGTTATCTATTCCTCTCTGGGTCTCAGCTGTGATGATGCTTCCTCAGGGATGCCTCACAGACCCCTTCAGAGAAGAGGTCATTCAGTTACAAAATTACACATTCCCATGGTCTTTCTTCATTGTAATTAACCTGTTATTTGATTAATATTTCTGTATTCCACCAGTTTGTAGGCTTCTCAGGCTGGGAACCATATCAGTGTAGCCCCTGCCACATCCCCCAGTGCCTAGCACAAAGACTTCAGTAAACAATTGAATGAATGAACTGGGAGGGTGGGGGAAGAAGTGTTAGAGCAGGCAGGAAAGTAAATGTTTGCCCAAGTTGATTGAGTGTTTAAGAGAGACCAGAATGGTGAGATGGAGTACCTGGAAGTACTGCAGGGGTTTGAGAGGGACTTGGTGAATACCAAAAAGGCCTTGGCCTTGAGCTGAGGCATAAACTCCACATGGAGACCGGGAGAGCCATCAAGAGCCACTGTAGGAGTTTAAGCAGGAAGGGTTTTATGTTTAAGCTTTTTTTTTGGTACCGGAGATTGGACTTGGGTCCTCGTGCTTGCAGGGCAGGTGGCAGAACCATTGAGCTAAATCCCTGGCCCAAGCTTAAGCTTTTAAAAGCTCACTCTGTAACTGTGTGAGGAGTAGACTCAAGGGAACACAGACAAGAGAGGCAGAGTCAGGAGGCTCTTGTCTTGAGTAACCCAGGTGAAAGGTGAAGATCTAACCTGTGGCAGTGGCTACAGGGATAGAAAGGTCAATGATGGCCATGGGTTTGTTGCTTTTTGGCTATGTGCATACAATAGGGTGGAGCCTGGCTCCTGCAGACTGGTGGTGGGAGGAAAGGAGGTTGAACAGGTGATGGGTCAAGGATGGAAGAAGAGTGATGAGTGCAGCCTGAATAATGGAAGGATGCTGTCAGCCTGGCTAGCAGAAGGATGGATGGATGGTCATGGGTGGATGGAGGAAGGGAGGGAGGGTAGATGCCTTCCTGGGTGAATTTTGAATTTTCACAGTCAGACTTTGCAGTGTGTTGTCGCCATACTCATCTTCTACACTGACTTAGTCACTGAGCAGCTAGGTCCTGAAGAGCTGCATTTCAGCTCCAGGAATGAACCTTGTTGCCCCTAGTCAGGCCATCCCAGACACTCATCTCAGGACTCCAAGTGCCCGACTCCAGGTTGGGGAGGTTGTGAGTAGATGAACCCCTGTCTGCAAGTGATTTCCCATCTGGCTGTAGCTGCTGAGGGGGATGGCTGCTTCCCTTCAAAGCTGACTTCCTGTGAAAGCAAGATAAACAAGCTCATAACTTAAAACTTCAGGTTCCTGACTTTAGGGGATGATGTTTTTCCATCTCACTTTACCATCTGGAACTGAAACCAGAAATTGGCCTGAGGTCAGAGCAGCCAGGGCCTGTACCAAACCTGGAGTGTTGAAGCCAAGGTCCTGTGGTTAGACTCCTTTGTGGTAGCAGTAAGCACTGATAGCTTGTGAACTCCATCACCAGATGTCCCTCGTCATCTTCCACTGGGGGCACAGGGGTCTACTGAAAGCTGATGAGGTTTATGGGGGCTGGAGGCAGAAAATGGCACAGGAAGTCTGTCCACAAAAGGAGTCATTATGGAGGTGAGATGTTCTTTGGCTGCAGCAAGCAGGTGGTACTCCCAGCCAGCAATGTGGAGTGAGTCTTTAACTTGCTGGGCCAGTGCATGGGTGCCATCTTTGTTGGCCACCTCGTGGTGCACCTGATCGCAGTCTCCATTGATCCAGCAGATGCCAATGTTCGGGACAAGAGCTACGCAGGGCCTCTTCCCGTATTTAACCGCAGCCAGCATGCACATGTCATTGAAGACCTGCACTGCAACCTGTGCGACGTGGACGTGTGAGTGCATGTGTGTGTGAGTGCATGGGTACATGTGGGTCCGCCAGCAGAGTTCAGGGTGGAGAGGGGCATGCCAGGCCTTCACAGTCATCTCGATGCCTTAGAACCCTCATGTTTTACACAGGAGTCTTGATGGAATTACGAGAACTGGTCTCTAAGAGGGTGAGGAGAAGGTGAATGGAAATAGATGAGGAACAGCATTTCCAACAGTTAAAGCAGGAAACATGTGGCCCTTCCACAAATATTGCTTGTGGTTAACTGCCAGTGGCATTCCACATCTCTCATGAGCACCCAGATAGGGTTGGGTGGGGGGTAAATGTGTGAGTACCCTGTGCCAAGCACTATGCACAACCCTCTGCCAGGCGGGCAGCAGCTCTCCTTTTACAGAGGGGGAAGAGCCCACCACACAGAAAGGTGGGAGGAGGCCTGAAGTCACACACCTGCTGAGCCAGGATCATATCCCTGGCTGCCTGGACTGTGAGGAGATTCTTGGGTATCCTTGGTTACCCAGGAGAAGTCACAGGCCCAAAGAGGCAGTGACTTGTCCCAGGTCACACGGCTATGAGGAGTCAGAATGTGGAGCATTCATCCTCATCTTGGTGGGTCCCAGGGCTCTCTAGGGCTCCTTCTTACCCTTTTGGAGCATCCCCATCTCCCATCCTCTGGAGAGAATGAGGGAAAGTCACCCAAGGACAGCCTCACATGTGGAATCTGAAGATCCAGGCAGCCTGCTAAAGGGGTCTGTCCACAAGAGCCAGAAAGCCCACAGCATTAAGGTGCTGAGGACCTGGGCACTAGGTCATCTTACCATTCCCTAGACTCCAGTCAGCACATGATTCTGAGTGGCTGCTGTGGCAGTTGCCCTCCATTGTACGGCTCCAGCCTATTCTGGGGCAGGGGCCATGCTCTACTTGTCCACACTCCTTTGGGCTCTCCCTGGTGCCTCCTGGGAATGGCAGACTTCCACTGGCATCCTAAAATGGCTTACCCTCAACTGACCCCTTTCGGTGAGCTGCCTTAATGCCTACGCAGATAGCAGCTTGATCCTCTCTTGGCTGCTTTCTCTTAGCCCACAAACTGAGATTTTCTGGAAGAATGCCAGTAAAGTCTCTAGAATGGCAGGGAAACTGACCCCAAAACAGAGATGTCACGAAGATGCACATTTCTGCTCCAGGCCTCATACTTCCGTCTTCTGACTTGGCTCAGTGGTCCTTGAATAGAAAGGAAATCCCTTTTCTGTTTTATACGACTGTCACCGCTGCCCTCCTCCCCCCTGTCCCGACCACGCTTCCTTTCCTGGGTCCCCCAGCAGTTTCGAAAGGCCGCTTCGTCCAGGGGCCCCTCCCTTCAGTTCCACCAGAGGGCGCGAGCGCATTTCTCATCACCACGCTTTGCTGTCGGGTGGAGGCGCCTTGTTGGCGCTGATGTCCACAGACCACCGCGTGCCTCCCTGGGCTGGGCAGCCGAGAAGGCCGTGATGGGCTGGCCGACCGCGTTGCTGTCCGCCCGCAGGAGCGCTCGCTCCAAGCACTGCAGCGCCTGCAACAAGTGCGTGTGCGGCTTTGACCACCACTGCAAGTGGCTCAACAACTGTGTGGGTGAGAGGAACTACCGGTGAGTGAGGGCCAGCGATGGCCTGGGGATGTGGGATGTGCAGCCTGCTTGTAAGGTGGGGCGGGGTGGGGTACTTAGAGGACCGGGGACTGTTATGCATCAGTGTATGCTCCTCGTCGAGGGTAAACTGCCTGGCATGCTGGCTGAGGATTGGCTTAGTCTTCCACCTTGCTGGTCCAGAGAAAGGGGTGGAGCCCAATAGGTATCACCCAGCTTCAGTTTTGCCCTGTGTCTTTGGTTTCAGAAGAGTTGGGGCTGTGGGGTCTGGGGCCAAGCTCCTCATCCTAGCCATGGGCCTTTCTAAGCTCCTGGCTCTTATTAAGCTGGAGCTCCTGGGTGCTGACAGCTGCCCATGGCTGGGCCAGGCTCTTTCTACACAGTGTGGCATCTGCTCTACTGGGTGTCCTGCTCCTGGTGCTGGTGGCCACTTATGTCTTTGTAGAGTTCTTTGTCAACCCTATGCGGCTGCGCACCAACCAACACTTTGAAGGTCAGTAAGTTCCAGGCCCTCTTCCCTCACCTGGCCTCTCCTGGTCACTGGTCCCATCCCTGGCTGAGCACAGTCTGCCTGTGCCTTTCAGTCCTGAAGAATCACACAGATGTGTGGTTTGTGTTCTTGCCTGCTGCCCCTGTGGAGACCCAGGCTCCTGCCATCTTGGCCCTGGCTGCTCTACTCATCCTTCTGGGCCTGCTCTCCACAGCCTTGCTTGGCCACCTGCTGTGCTTCCACATCTATCTCAGTAAGTGCCTCCCCCCTCTGCCTTGCAGGGAGTAGGGGTCCCTAAATGGCAGGGAGGTGCCTCATGCCCTTTATCAGTGCTGGCTCTCTTATGGCCCCATCTCATCTCATGGCTTAGTACATACGGAAACAGAGGTTTCCTTCTGGGAGCTAGGTGCTTTCCTGACCCTTTATGAGCTCCAAGATCCCAGCTCCACTGCTGCGCCCTCTCCTCCCCCACCAGTGTGGCACAAGCTCACCACCTATGAGTACATCGTGCAGCACCGCCCACCACAGGAGGCAAAGGGGGCCCAAAAGAAGCTCGAGTCGTGTCCCCCCAAGATGCGGCCCATTCAGGTATACAGTGGCCCAAAGGACTGGGGGTGGCAGATGGGCCTGGGTGTGTGTGTGTGTGTGTGTGTAGGGATGGACTGTACAGAAAGAGCCAGTGAAGAGATAAGGCAAAGGAAGCAAGCCTGGAGTAGCAGTGGAGCAGGGCATGTTGGGAAGTAGGGGACATGCCACCAGCACAGCTAGAGGGAGCCCTGCATTTCTGCAGCTCCGTATATGTGTCTGTCCAGGTTCCAGGCATGTGCTGTAGAGAGCAGAATGTGAGAGACCAGGAGCAAGGAGGGTGGAACTGCAGAAAAGAGGGATGAACCTATGGTCAGTGACTGGGTAGCCAAGATGCATCCATCAATTTCTCTATCTGTGGCCTTGAGCTGTCATACCCGTTACCCTATTTATCCTTAGAAGAGTATTGTTACTACCCATATTGCAGATAAGCACATTGAGGCCTAGAAAGATTAAACTGCAGCCTGGTCTGGGAAGAGTTAAGGCTTCCACACACCAAAACATGAACCCTCCAACCCAGCTTGGGCCCGGCCAGCCCAGCTGTTGGCCAGCCTGTCCCCATTCCCACGCCTCATGGCTTCCTGAGGTCAGCAGCTGGGGGTGGAGGTGGTCCAATCCTCAGAGCCCCTGGGGATTGGGAAGGCAGGGGGCCCAGGCAAGCTTTCCTGGGAAGGCTGAACCCTGGATGCCAAATCCTCATGGCAACTGGACACAAACACAGGCTAGAGGGTGGTTGGAAGAGGGCTTGGGTCCTTGCCTCTCCTGTTCTCATTGCCAGGCCTGGACCCTGCCTGTGGGCCAGGCTGGCAGAGCACTGGCAGTAGGTGGAGACCCACCTGCCACACCACCATACACCTGTCCTGGTGCTGGGCACTGACCTGTGTAAACACAGTGGCAGCCGCCCTGGGGAGTAGGTATCATGCCTATCCCCACATCACAGAGGAGGTACACAGGAGACTTTCTCAAGCTTCCCAGCTGTGCCAGTTGGGGCAGGGCTGGCCCTGGGATGCCCAGACTCCAGGGCCTTATATCCTTGCCTTGCTTAGGCTTTGGGGCCAACTGTGGCAGCAGCAAGGACATTTAATCTCTATACCATCCATCTGTAAATGAGAGTTCTGAGTGGGGACCGGCTGGTGACACTTTTTAAACTTCTCCACATGGCTAGGTCCTGGCTCCTTTTCTATCTTGGAGTACAAGGGCCCCAGGGTCAGTTTTCCTCCCCAACTATTGGGCCCAGGAGGAGTGCTGAGTCCACACTGGGGAAGGGAAAAGATGGGAGGAAGCCGAGGGCAGTGGTGCACATCTGTAGTTCCAGCTACTCTGGAGGCTGGGGCAGGAGGATCATGAGTTGGAGGCCAACCTAGGCAACATGGAAGATCCTGCCTCAAAAAAAAAAGGGTGGGGGGATTTCCTTGACTGACTTCTGTGCCTCTGCTTAGGCCAGCTCCTCCACACCTCTTCCCCAAAGGATCAGCTTAGGCAGAGGTTGGGCACAGGGCTTGTGTGGGGCCTGTCTTTGCACCTATGCAGCCAGCTCGCAGCGCCTGGGCTCTGTCCCTGTCCTCCAGATCGCCTGGGCTCGGGCAGGCAGCCTCCCTCCCCACCTCCACCCAGCAGGAATGCAGGAGCGGCCCCTCTCTGGAGCCGTTGCCCCCAAACATAGGCTTGTTTTAGAGACGGCGGCGTTGCTGTTGCAGTGTCCTCTCTACATTAGTCAGGACGCTTCAGTCTCCATGGAAACGGCTGGCGAGCAGGCGACAGCTGTCCCGGTGCTCCCTTCTGCCCTGGCCCCGCCCCTCGTCCTTCGCACCACGCCCTGCCCAGCCTGCTTTTCCTGGCTTTTGTTTTTGTTTCCTCACCTGCAATCCTCTGGCGCAGCTGGGGCTCGTCTTGCATGCTGGTGTGCAGGCCTAGCCTGTCTGGCTACCTCCCAGGCTCAAGGCTCCTTTGCTTTTGGGGTTGCATTTGCTGCCCCCAGGGTCGTTGTGAGGATCCAGGACTGGTGCCAGATGGGGGCTGCGATACTATTTGTTCCATCACTTCCTGCCTTCCCTTTCTGCATAGGGGCAGTGGAGACCACATGCACACTCGTTTCCCCTTCCCAGCAGCTGGGGTTGTGGCCAGTCCTGTGTGAGTGAGGGGCGAGCCCAGGAGTAGCCCAGGACTCCGCTCCGAAGGGTGCACACTCCTGCTTGTGAGCAGCTGCGTGGCCTCCCAGCCAGAGAGGGACCAGGAACAGGGGAGGGCAGCCCTACCAGCCCCTTGGCTGAGCAGCCCTAGCCTGGGCAGTTTTGGATCCATAGTCTGGAGCCTTCCTGGAGAAGATGAAGTTTGACTAGATGAAAATAAAACGTGGGGATAGGGTAAGGTTTAGAAATGGGTGTTTTAAACCTCACTCTGTAGAGGGGTTTCCCCTGCATAACTGGGAAGGAAGAAGACAGCCCTAGACCCCAGACCTCTCTCAGAGAAAAGTTCCAGGGTGGGCTGGGCTCAGGATTCCGGAGGCTCTGGATCTGCACCTGGCTTTCCAGTCTGCCTCACCCGCACTTCCCCAGGAGATGGAGTTCTACATGAGGACCTTCAGCCATGTGCGCCCAGAGCCCCCTGGCCAGGCCAGGCCAGCGACAGTAAACGCTAAGTGAGTGCTACCTGGGCATGTGACACCTGGGCGCCTCCCATTAGCATAACGGGGCCATCAGAAGTGGGAATAAAAGGGTAGACCAAGGCCCAGACACGAGTCTTGTCTCTCTCTGTCCTCTGCTGGGAAGGGACCTCCAGCGGGAAGAGATTTGGGGAACAGCGCTCAAAGACTGTCCTGCTTTTCCCTTAGTCCCTCCTGGTTTCTTGCCACTCAAGACCAAGTGGAACCTCCACGGCCCTCCTCCCCCGACTCTCTAGCCCTGCCTCCTGCTATCCGACCCCAGGTAGGAGGGACTGGGCTTGGCCCTCTGCCAAATGGAGGGAAATGGGAAGGAAACCTCTACCCTGCTGACTCCTCTACTGCTTTTGGCATTGTGGGGTTTGGAGAAGTGGCATTCAGACTCCCCCTCTGTCTCTGCAGAAAAAAAGGAAGCGACGCAGGTATAAGGTGCGGAGGACCGGGATCTTGGAACGGGAGTCCCCGCTGCCCAAGCTTCGGGGTGAGAACCCCTCCCTGTCCGGGTCCTACTCAGGAGGCTCCGTGGGAGGGAAAGGCAGAGGCTGGAGCAGCAACCCCTCAGCTCACGTTCCCTCCACTGTGCAGGGCCCCGGACCCCCGACCGGGGCTCCAGCTCGTCGACTGACAGCTCCAGCGCCAGCCCGGTGCACGCCACTGGCCCGGCAGGCGCCTACCACTCTGCTTCAGCCGAGTCCATGGACGAGATTCCAGTGGTGCAGTTGCGCCTGGGCAGCGCCGCCCTGGCCACCCCTGGGGGCAGAGCCCGAGACCTCGGGCTGGCGCTGCAGGCGCGTGTGCCAGCCGTGTTCGTGAGCCCGAGTAGCGGCGAACCTGGGACGCTGAATGTCCAGGAGGGCGGCCGGCCTTAGCTGTGCGGGCCAAGGAGGAGCGGCCGGCTCGACTCTATGCAACACCCCACTCGCCGCACCTAGTGCACTTTAGGGGCCCCACGGCCGACAGGATCGACCTCCATGACTTAGCAATATCCAACCCACCGGCCCTGATGCTCCAATAAACTTTTTTTTATGCTTTTGCGGATTTGGTGCTTGCTTTCTTAAATGGCAAGGGGCATGGGTCCTGTGGAAGCTGGGTCATTGCCAGTCAGGCCCAGGGCAGGGTGAAGTGGGTCTCCCTGCAGTAGGGGCTGGCTGGCTGGTCCCATGAAGGTGTGTGCGGTATGGGGCTTGTGGTTGGGAAGGCCCTGGAAGGCTTCCTGAAGGAGGTTGCTTTTCTTAAGAAGGGAGAGGCTGCGGGCAAGGTGGGAACGAACTCAGGAGGCCGACCGTCGGGGCACTGGCACTCTAGGGCAGTGCAAGTGTGATTCGTTCATTGTCCCCTTCCTCTGCATTGGTCCCAAATCTGAACCCTACGGGAGAACGCGGGAGTTGTGGCTGGGGATGCCACACCTTTAGCCAACAGCTGTGGTCCCAAGCCATCTGTAGTACCCCGTCCTCGAGGGAAGGGACAATTCTCCCCACCCCCACCCCCCGACTCCGCTCCAGCTCCCAGACGGCCTCCGGTTGGCTCGGGGAAGCTGGGTCTCCCCTGAAGGTTGGGGGCCTGCTTGAACTCTGGGCGAATTCTAGGGTGGGGCCCTTTTCCCTTCGGAGCCACCCGAAGACGTCGAGAAGCAAAACGCGCAGCTCTGAACGCGCGGACTGAGAGGCTGCGGGAAGGGGGGGTCGGTGAGGCTGCTGCGGGAGCTCCATGGCTCGGGGGCGGGGCATGGTGGGCGGGGCCATCGTGACCTTGGTCACTCTCCCGCAGAGACAGCCTCGGAGGCGGGACTCGCCGTCTCTATAGAGACCGAGAAACAGGGGATAATACTGCGGAGCCGCCCCGGCTGCAGTCCCGCCCCGGAGCCGGCAGGGAGCGGAGCTGCGGAGCCGCCTGGTCTCCCGCATCCATCGGTCTGTTCCTGTGTCTTTCTGTCCATCTGAACGCGGGCTGCAGGAGCAGCCAAGAGATTGAAGCCGGTAGGAGACCCGGACGCCGACCACCCTGATCAGTACCCTGCACAAAGAGGGGTGGGCGGGAGCGATTTGAAAGGGGTCCCAACCCCGGATGGTGCAGAGCCGAGGACACAAGCTGAATCGGCCCTACGGCCGGCCGCCCCAAGCATTCCACCCTATTCCCCAGCCCCCACCTCCCTGCTCAGTTGATTGATGACTCCAGCTGTCCCTGCAGGAGGGGACGGGTGGCCTTGGTTTATGGGCGCGGTTGCTCCATCCCTGGCCTGCAGACCTCCTGGGCTACTCGTGACTCTGTTCCACCTGAACAGCCGAGAAATAACCAAGAATCCGTCTTTCCACAGACAGGAGTGAGCACTGGACCCAGGAGTCTCCCAGCCCCTTGAGACAAGCATCCTGTGGTACCCAAGCTCCCCTGAACAATACTATGTTTAGTAAACTGAGTACAGGGCATTGGGCCCTTGGTGGGAGATATCACCTAGGGAGAGAAAATGGGAGTGCAGTGCCAACTAGGACTGTGGTCTCACAGAAGACCCTGAAACTTAGAGATGGATCAGTGTGGTCACCAGGAAGGGGCTCTTAGCGTCAAAGCCAGTGGTACAGGAAGAGGGGGGAGCTGGGCAGGGGCCCAGGCTGTGGTCACTAGAGGCTTTCCTATAAGAGGCACCAATAAAGATGGTGGCTGAGACCGAGGGTGTGGTCAGGAGGCTGCAGTGGTGGCACGGGTCACTGGGTCCAGAAATATCAGAATGCAGGTTGAGTACTGGGGTGCTTCAGTACAGGGCTGAGTGTGGTCAGAGGGTGTGGTACAAAGTGAGGTGCTGAGGGTGTGGTCAGGCCATGATAAGGGTTTCAGTTATGTGAGGGCCTGCATTGCTGGGTCTGGCTAGGGGGTTTCAGTAAGGGCTGCAGAGTGTGGATGGGGAGGCTGCAGTGGGTTGCAGGTGTGTGCTCAGGGAGCCCCCAGTACCAGGCTGTGCTCCTGGCTGAGGGTGTGGTCAAGGGACTGCACTGGAGGCCTATGGGTGAGGGACACTTTTGGGCAGGGTATTACGGAGAGTATTACTGAGGATCTCAGTGTGGGTCTGCTAAAGCCTGTTGGGGTGGAAGCTGAGGGAAGGGTCAGGCCCTTAGGCCCAAGGCTGTGGGTGTGGACAAGGGAGCTGCAGTGCAGGCCTGTGTGTGTGGCCAGGGGTACAAGGCCGAGGGCATGGAGGGCTGGGGCTGTGTGCATATAGGTTGTGTGAATGTGGACTCATGTGGCCATGTTCAGGGTGTGGTAGGGGACCTCAGTGGAGGGCTGAGGTGTAGACAGAGGGACCTGGCTTCAGTGGAAGATCACAGTGCCAAGGCCATGGTCCCACTTGCCAGCCTGCCTCTTGGGGCTGATTACTTACTGTACAACCTCCACCAAGGCTACCCCAGATCTCCTGCTCCTCCTAAACTCCATAGACTGGGAGGCTACAGACCCAATGGGTGGCAAGGGGCCAGAAAGCCATGGTTGTGCCGTAGGCACAGGGAGTGCTGTGTGCTCCACCCGTGGGCCCCTGCTCCCCAGCCCAGCCCAGCCCAGCCCAGCAGCACTGGGAGCTTCTCTCTGAGCCGCCCTGACACCATCTTGCCCTTAGCAACATTCTCCAAGCAGCACCACCCTCCCTTAGCAACTGTCTCCAGGCTTCACAAACTGTGGCCAGGCCAGCCCCAAGCTCCCGCTCCCCTCATGTTTTTGTTTAACAGCAAATAGTAACAAGGTCCCGGCTGGGCCAGCTGCACCCCTGCCTAAGGCATGCACTGCTGCCTGTGCTGTCTCCCTTCTCAGGCCTGGCTTAGGTCTTGCTGGGTCTTTATGACCCTTACAGAGACACTGTCCTTGCTAAATACCTGCCCAGTCAGCACCCTGGCCCTGACTCAGCTTGGCATAGAGCTTCCAGGGAGGGGGGCCTGTTCTGCCACCCTCACTTCTACCCAAGCAGGCCTTGTGCCAGGGCCAGACAAAGCCATGTCCCAGCTGCTGCCCTCATAGTCTTTGTGGACAGTGCCACTCTGTTTCTAGCCTGGTGTGGGCATCGTGATTTCATCTTCAAAGATCTACTCGGAGCCAGGGCTGGCACTAAATGACAAGACATTTCCTCTCAGGGCTCTTGTACAGGGTCTGGGGTCCTGGCAGATACTCAGCACTCCCGCCTCTCCCCAGGCAGCCCTAACACCGAATCTGAGGGTCTGTAGCAGAAGTGCTGCCAACTCAGGCCCTGCTGGTCTTGAGGTGGAGGCAAGGATGTTTTGGGCTTTGGGCGGCAGGGAGGTTGGCTAGGAAGTGACCAAGGTGGGTCCCCACAGGTTGGCATGGCAGAGAGCACAGATGTAGCTGGGCTGCAGGAGAGCTTCCGAAAGTTTGCCATTCATGGCGACCCCAAGGCAAGCGGACAAGAGATGAATGGCAAGAACTGGGCCAAGCTGTGCAAGGACTGCAAGGTGGCTGATGGAAAGGCTGTGACAGGGACCGATGTTGACATCGTCTTCTCCAAAGTCAAGTGAGCCCTAGGCAGCCCTTGATTCTCATGTTCCCAGAGGGTGGGGTGTTGGGGCTAGAACCAGGGAGGACACGAGAAGAGAGAACACTCATCATGCCCATGTGCCTGGCAGGGGGAAGTCAGCTCGTGTCATCAACTATGAGGAGTTCAAGAAGGCCCTGGAAGAGCTGGCCCCCAAGCGATTCAAGGGAAAGAGCAAGGAGGAGGCCTTCGATGCTATCTGCCAGCTGGTGGCAGGCAAGGAACCAGCCAACTTGGGCGTCACTGTAAGTGCCCTGCTAGGCTCTGTTGGCCACTGAGGGGTTGTGGGGAATTTTCACTGGGGGTGGGAAGGGGCCAAGCTCCCTTACCGAGAACCTCTGGGGGAACTCTGTCCAAACAGAAAGCAAAAACAGGGGGTGCTGTGGAACGGCTGACTGACACTAGCAAGTACACTGGCTCCCACAAAGAGCGCTTCGATGAGAGCGGCAAGGGCAAGGGCATTGCCGGACGGCAGGACATCCTGGACGACAGTGGCTATGTGAGCGCCTACAAGAATGCAGGCACCTATGATGCTAAGGTGAAGAAGTGAGGCCTGGGAAGGCCCCAGTGCAGCTGCCCCTGCCAGGGGCTCAGGCCTGGGCTTATGGGGTACGTGGAGCAAGAAAGCCTGGTTTCTTCCCTGCTGGATCTGCCACCCAGCGCTTCCTGCCCAGCCCCACAGGGCCAGCTAGCCCACCAGGCCTCTGACCCAGACTTCTCTGCATCCCCTTCCTCCTTCTCCTGCCTCCTGGACTCCTCTCTGTCTGGGAACAGTCTGTGCCTATAGCCTCACCACCCCAGCCTGACCCAGGCATGGCTGATCCCTGCCTGCTTGCCTCATATTTAAGCTGCTGCTCTGGCCAAGTGCCTAATTTGTTCCCAGACCTCAATAAAGACACCTTTTGTACCAGTATGGCCCGGTTGGGTAATGACGGTCACATCTCAGTGCTCCCTTCAGTACCATCACTCCCTGCTGATCTCCCCCCCATTCCACTGGCTACCCTGCCTGGAAAGAAAGGCACACGAGTCCTCTTCCATTAGTGCAGAGCTAGACCGCTCGAGATGCCCCTGAGAGAAATGCAAAGACTTTAAACTGGGCCCTGACCTGGAGCCTGATGTCATAGCCTGTCTCTCTGCACAACAGCAGGAGGATGAGACAGCGACTTGGCCTGGGCCACGCCTTAGCATAGACCTCAGTGCCAGGCCTAGCTCTAAGCCTGCCAACAGAGGGCTACCAAGCCAAGAACCTCAGAAAACTCAGGACCAAGAGGAACCTGAGAGAGTACATAGTTCAACTCTTTAAAATTTTTTTTTATTTTTTGGTTTTTGAGATGGGGTCTCGCTATGTAGTTCAGGCTGGCCTTGAACTCCCAGTGATCCTTTTGCCTCAGACTCCCAAGTGCTGGGATTATGGTGTGTGCCACCATACCCAGATCAACTCCCTCATTTTATAGCTGAGGAAACCAAGGCCCAGAAAGGGAAGGGGTTTCTGCATAGGAAGCTGGACCATGCCTCTTGCCTCCAGGCCAGGCTTTCCTAGTACAGTGAGCCTCAACACTGATTTGCAAAAGTGGGGCTGGATGGCCAGTGACAGCCTGGCACATTGTGCTGGTCACGTTGGTGGCCAGGGGACTGTACGTTCACCACCCAGGTGAGGCGGGTAGTGCCTCATTGGTCCTCAGGGCTTTTGGGAGTTTGCAGATCCTCTCTCTGAGGCCCTGGGTGTTGGGCCAGAGCTATTTCCAAGCCTGAGGCTTTGGTGCCAACTTCCATTCTGCTATGACAAGGGAACTAATGGGACCTAGGACCTAATCAGCAGAGGGTAGCTCCCAAGGGTTCCAGAAAAGGCTTCAAAGACACACATTCATGAATACTCACCCTCTTTCCTGACCCTGATACAAGGTAAAGAAGGGCAACTGAGGTTAGGCCTTGGGCCTAACCACTTAGGATGAGACGTATAGAAAAAGAGGGTGGCTTGGACAGAAGAGGTCAGGTGGGAAGCAGAAGCCCACCCTCCCAGCTGGGGCAGCAGGCTCCTCCCTGGGCGCTTGGGAGGCTAAGGAGTTCAGAGAGCTCTGCCTTGCCCACCAGCAGAAGAGTGATCCTCCTAGCCTTGGGGAATCTGAATTGAAAGC